TTAAACCCAATATAATTTTACTGTCCAACTTTCAGCAGACCCCATACCATCACAGAAAATTTTAACCATCGTCTTATCACAGCTTACCTGGCTGTCGTAAATTATGACCAAGAAGTGATATAGCAAGCCCAGCCTAATCTGAAGCCAGTTAGTCCGCACACCCATAAATCACCCAGGTACTCGTAAACTCATCTTCAAATATAACCCTTATTACAATATCCATAAGAAACCATATTAATAAAAGTCAAAGATCAGGACATAGTTCGGGTAATAAGCTCAGGTAGCTCCAATGCTGCCCAGACCCAAAGTTCATTAAAATAAAAGGGATTCATGAGAGACCTTTAACTTTTGTTTGGTACAAGTTATCAGATAAAAGCGATTAGACTAAAGTATATATCACATATTGTAAGCCTATTATGTTCATATAAGTCTTACAATATGGGGTTCTTCAAGAAAGGAATAAACAGGTTTATAAAGTTTCGGCAAGGCACATGTAATGCCCCAAGTGTTGCAAGCGTTCATTGGCCACGGTAACCACTTACCATTAGGTGGGCCGTGTACTTTTCTTGCCACCATAGTAGTATAAAAAAGGCTTATAACGATACTAATAAAACTTGCTATAGGTTTCATCAACGTTAGTCATAAAACTTTAGCTGCTGAATATATCTAGACCTCTAATGACTTCCATCAGCTCATTGGAAGACACCTGCAGCCATCAACTCCTTGCGAACTTTACCAAGTCAACATTTACTCACTGCGCTCTAGTTTGCATGTAAACATAAGTCCTGAGTAAGGTCTTATACAACACAAGGATCACCAGATGGTAATGGTCATGACGTCCCACGCAGACTAGTTATAAGTACGGTGTTAGACTTTTGAGGGCGCCGCGGAGAACTCAACGGGTTACCAGAGCTCCGGTTCGAAGTGCAGAAGTAGGAACGGGGTGGTTTTTAGTCAGTAAGAGTCTGGCACTCCCTCCCGCCTCACCGAGTCAGGAGAATTTATTCGATGATTTCCCCCCTTAAAAAAAGACTTTTGGAGGTAACAAGAACGGCAAAGACAAACGATAAAAGCATTGTTTCACGCCTGCTCTTAGTAAGGCCATAGAATCGCTCTGGTCTAGCCGGTCTATTCACGCCGAAGCATGGCCCACGTGAAAAATTCAACACAAATTTCATAAGTTTCAGCCAATAATCGCTTTCGCCTATATTTTAAACTATTTTCAAGCCATGATGAAGAAGTAAAACAATTAGGCGCTGTAATTAATACGGTCGCCCGAGGTTAGAACCTGACACTTCGTAGTTGATACCTTGAAAGTCAGTAAGCTGATATAGTACAGTATCTGAGATGTTACAGTTTGAGGTAGATACTAGTGATTTCTGTTGAATGAAATATGTTTGGTTATGACAATAAGTTCGGCCCATTTATACCGGAAAATCATTTTTTTTATGGCATAAGCCGGTAAACGAGCAGACGGATCACCTGATGGTGAGCAATCAGCGTCGCTCATGGACACCTGGAACACCAGAGGCGTTACAAGTGCGTTACCGGCATTTTGGGGATTAGGAGTTTGAGGATCGTTGGGGACTCAGGGATTGGGGAGATTGGGGAAGGGGAGGGTATTTGGGCCTCCGGTAACCTCACTCACATGACGAAACACAACGAAAGCGTTCCTTCACGTCGGTTTTCTGTGAGGCCGTGGTATCATTCCGGTCGAGCCGGCCCTTTTGTGCCGAAGCATGGCTCTCCCACACTTAAGTATTAAGTCTTTGAGTACCGTCATTATAGACACAATTAAAGAACAATAGGTTGCGGTCACCGATGTTCTCGCGGTGTTTGACAGTTTAAAGTCAAAGTCATACAAGACCAGGAAGGTACTTGTGAACGTCAAAACAAAAACAAAACATATTAAAAATGTCAGTCTGTCAGTCGTTCCTCTAGTGAAGCTATTTGCTTTCTCCAAAGTGTAGATTCCTATAGAGAAGCACGAGTAAGGAACTATATAGATTACTCTGATCATATATTACTCCATGGGCGGCGATGATCGCTTACCATTAGATGATCCGTCTGCTTGTTTGCCTCATGTTCCATTAAAAAATGCTCATTTTTTAATCAAGGTTTTTTTTATGGAATAGGAAGTTAAACGAGCAGACGGATCACCTGAGGGAAAGCGATCAGCGCCGCCCATGGGCACCCGCAACACCAGAGGAGTCACAGGTGCGTTGCCGGCCTTTTAAAAAGGAGTACGCTTTTTTCTTGAAGGTTTGAAGGTCGTATCGGTTCGGAAATACCGCCGACGACAGACCATTCCACAGTTTTGCTGTGCGAGGCAGGAAGCTACGGTTTACAATACTACTGTCATATTACAATTCTCATCTTAGTATGTGTTCACATACAATATATTCAAGTGCGAGCTTTACATCTCAGATTCTATTCGAGTATACATCTTTTAAATAAGATCTGCATCTAGTGCCTCTGAGACTTTATCAGGGTCATTTTATTAGATCACTTAAATATATGTTTGTCACATGCTAACAAAAAGTTAGCAATGAGCAACACTTACCCACCTACAAAAATAGATAGAGATACGGATCCGCGGAGAACTAAAGGGTTGCCTGGGCTCCGGCTCGAAGAGCAGGATTAGGAACAGGGTGGTTTTAGTCAGTAAGAGTCTGACACTCTTACTGAATAGAAACACACTTCTCTCCCATGGATGAGGCGGGAGAAGTCATTCAATGATTTTAAAAATAACCTAAAAGAATATCAACGTAATCGTCGTACGTAATCCTACTAATATTAAAAATGCGGAACATTGTGAGCATGTATGTGCTATTTTGTTGCTCTTTCACGCAAAAACTACTGAAGGAATCGAGATGAAATTTGCAGCAGGGGTAGATTATGGTCTGAAATAACACGTGGGTCACTTTTATCCTACGAAAACACGAGCGAAGCCGCTGGCTGACGTTAATGTCTATTTTATTACTTACATCATGCTGTGCTCCGAACAGCGTTACCGTAGGTGTATAACTGGTACGTACTATAACGGGCTGGTGCTTAAAATCAGCGCCGTGGGCTCGAGCCTCTGTGCCCGGTCCACGGTATTAAGCTGAGCTCCAGCCTTTTGCGCTGCGACGCACCATGGGCTTTTTTGTGTGTTCCTAAATTCCTGTTGTGTGTCGTAGCAAAATAAATGGCTCTTTTTCTTTCTTTCTTGAAAAAACACACAAAAAGCTACGTGTTTTCAAATTCAAGATTTAAACTCAGTTCAGAAACTACGATGAGCGAAAATCATCAAAATAAATGGCTCTCAAAAAAGTCCTAAATCTCAGGTGTTCTGACTCGAAATATATTTCTAATTCTAAAATTAAATTGCAAGATCCCAATTCACATGCGAATGGCAAAACTATGTTTTTTTTTAAATAAATTTGCAAGCAAATTGCATCTCATTTTCGTAAATGACAGTCAATTCGCAGAATGACGCACAAACGCCAGATATATATGAGAAAAAAAAAACAAAAGAAAAAGAAAAAATTTTAGATTCCTTTTGTTTGAATTTTTATCTTTCATTGTTTATTAAAATCGTTCTACTTTAAACATTGTATTTTGTTTGTTTTTAAATCGACTAAAAGTGAGTTGAATATAATTCAAAATCAAGCGTTATTGAGTTTTGAGAAAACCAGAGGCATCACATGTCCATTACCGGTGTTTTGGGGATTAGAAATATGAGGGATTCGAGGATAGGCACATATTTATAATAATGGCAAAGGAGACAAACATTTCATAGTGTTAATTTTTTTTTAATTATGTTCAAAAATAAATAGCGTAATCTTAAATTGAATCCGGTCATTGTTAATAAACACGGTTCAATTAACTGGAAAAATCAAAATGTTCTGATTTTACTTACTTAAAGTCAAAGTCAAAGTCAAAATCATTTATTTCAATTAGGCCAGAATGGCACTTTTGAACGTCAAAAAAAATTAAAAGTTAAGCTATTTTGCTCATTTCAAAGTGTTGATTCCTATGGAGAAGAACGAGCAAGAAACTCCATAGGTTACTCTTTTTCAATCAGATATCATCTTACATAAATTAAAATAATATAATTTCCAATTCATGCATTCATATTAGTAATTGCAATCTTAAAGATGCTGACAGTATGTGAATATAATTTTCAAGAAGTGTATACAATTTTATTCGTCATTCCCCAGCTTTTGCACTGAAAATTCGACGTTAAAAATTAACTAACAAAGTTGATTTTCCTTTGAAAAGATTTGATGAATAAGGTTCATATTAGTTGCCTTGCAGTAACAAACTTTAAATAATTTATTTGCTAGAAATATTTCCGATTTAAGATTTATCGAAACCTCGCATTGAGGTCGCAGTTTCCTGAACAACTCGATATTTTCAGCTCTGAAGGAGTCATAAGTTAAAATTGCATTTGACGTCATTTTTATTTTATTTATCTACCGATTCCAGAAAATTGGTTATTTCGTTTTCTACGCTTTATATTGCAATTTGGAATATAAGAGTGTATAAGCAGCGTTTTATCCAATAGCTACCAGAATAGTAATTTTTGACTGACAAAAATTTCATTTTGTTGAATTTTTCATTTTGACCCTTTTATCAAACTAGAAACTTAATGGAGAAAAAAAAAATAAAGTATATTTTATCATTTGAAAATTATAGACCATAAATCTTATTCTCGGCCCATTTTTGGAAAAAGCATGTTCAGTTTCCAAAATCATTCTATGACTTCTCCCGCTTTGTGTGAGGCAAGAGGAAGTGTCAGACTTATACTGACTAAACACCACCCCGATTCTACTCTTGCTTCAAGCCAGCGTGTAACAGCCCCAGTAACCCGTTAAATTGTCTGCAGCTAGAAATAGGTATCAAGAGCTTAGAAATGGAATCCAATAAATTTTACGACAAATTACTGTGATTTCATCTGAAATGAATATCTATAAATAAAATATATTTGAATCGGAGATATTCTAGATACTTACAGAGATTGGGAGAGGTACTTGGACAAGCCAAGCTTAGAGATCTTGCTGCCTTTGATCCCTTCGTTCACAATGTTGGTCACCGTCAAAAAGTTCTTCGTCATTGTTGATTCCTGTGACGTCACTATTGTCACAAAACCACACACAAATTAAATTATAAACACTGGCAACACTCCTAACAAACTAATAACGAAAAAAAAAACAATTAAAATAGTCTTTAACTTGTAACACTTGAAAATCTGACACTAACTGGTTCAAAAAAGGAATTTAATTCTTTAACAACACTTACTTTTCAAATTCAGAACCCAACATCGAACGTTATTTTTTTAAATTCAAATATCGCAACAGATAACACGCGCAAAATGTTTATTTTTTTCAACTGTCAACAAAAAAATGTTTTGTTTTTTTTAAGAAAAAACTCTCTCTCTTTGTTTTTATCACAGACACGGTACTCGATGTTTTGTTCAAGTTTCAGCTTTCAGTTGCTTCAATAACCTGAAAAGGAAGGCTTTCGTCTTCATTGGTTCACTTTTGGATATTTCCCAAAAGTACTTCGTTTGATTATTATTGTTTGTTATGAATCTTTTGTAATTTTCTCTCGTTTTGCTTTAAATTTTCGATTAATGTTCGTTTGAAATTGCGAGCGTTTTTGGTGACAGATAGGTACCTATTGTTTTAAGAAATATCGTTGATAGACGTTGATGTTTAAATTCAGTAAATGTTTTAAAAAACTTGGTTAAAAGTATTAAGTGTGATAACATCATAATTACAGGAACTTTTAATAACTTTAAGATACTGGTACAATAGTTTGTTAAATCTCGCTGCTTACATCAATCTGCAAAAAATGACTAGAAGTGATGACACGAAGTGGCAATACAAATTAACCATTGATGAAACATTAGGAAATCAATATAATCCGCCTTGAGCAAAAACAGTTTTATTCCTTCTACGTTTAAGAAAAGGCCTTTGGCCAGCAGAAGGATGGTTAGAGACTGATCTTGATGATGATTATAAGAATACTTTATTATAATTATAAGAATAATTTATTGAAATAAACATTTACAAAATGAACACTAAACCAACAGTAACAGGGTATCCTACTACAATAAACATACAATACAGTGCTTAAAAATATACTAAAATTAAAATATCAATAAAGGTATAATGCCGTGGTGGCCCGGAGGTTTTGGACGCTGGCTTCTCATGCATAAGAATGCGATTTCGAAACCTACCAACGGCCAGTACCAATGTGATTTCTTCCGAGTTATATGTACTTTCTAAGATTATTTAGACACCACTGACAAACGGTGAAGGAAAACATCGTGAGGAAACCTGGGCTTATAATTTCTAATTATACGTTTGTAATCGCACACCCGCATTGAGCAAGCGTGATGATTAATGCTCAAACCTTCTCCGTGTGAGAAGAGGCTTTGCTCAGTAGTAGGCATTTATAGACTGTTGATGATCATTGATGATGACAAAGGTATATTGACAGTGATTCGGAAAATTCCATTTTTTAATAGTGGACCGCCCGATCTAGGTTAATTTAAACCTGTGTTTCAGGCCACTATGCCAGCGATTATAATGCTATGTATCATGGTCCTTAACACAAAGTACAAAAGAGATCCAACTAAAAAAGAGAATTGTATATTCAAATAAAACAACCCTACTTTTCACCAATCCCTTATTATTTAATCATACAGAATAGCTTAATAACATAATTCACAAAAACTTCACGTATGTATGTACATACATAACATATATTTACCCTCAGCTAAAATACCACAGTAATGATAAACAGCTGGTAGTCATCACATTCATGTATGTAGTGATTCACGTTCATTATATCAAGACCTTTGACATTATGAACGTGTACGAACAAGTTATAGGCGGTAAGGGGATAAAAATGATTTCGGAGATATTTTGTCAAATAATACTGGTAATAAAAATCATGGCAAATCGTCTTATGTAGAAGAGGTCCAGTGGCTTGTCAGAAACTGAGGTAACCTGAAACGTTTGTAGCATGCATTGTAGTTACAGTTTTTGGAAAATCGTATGCTCAAATGGTTTTGTTGCCAGTAAACTAAGACAGTGCAATCATTGTAATCAGCAGGCAGGCTACTACCTAAGTAAACCTTCTGTGTCTAAGTAAGATTGGTCATAATATCTTTACTAGGCAGCTGGGTTAACGTTATAATATTCTAAGCAAAAATTTGATGAACCAAGGGAAGAAAGTTGTCTCATTGATGGAAAAGTAACAACGGTTTGTTTAGAAATTGATCACTACAATGAGGTCAATTAGTTTTAAGATCAGTTTCAATAAGCTGCATTTCATTTGACTGCACGGTTGGTGCGGTGGCTGGGCAACCGGCTGCCGTGCAACGTGTCGCGGGTTCGATTCCCGCACGGAACAACACTTTGTGTGATCCACAAATTGTTGTTTCGGGTCTGGGTGTCATTGTGTATGTGAACTTGTATGCTTGTAAACGCACCCACGACACAGGAGAAAATCCTAGTGTGGGGCAACGTTTTTTTTTTTAAAAAAAAATAAGCATTGAAGTTTATTTATTTATCAATTTATGCATAACATATAGACAGTAGACTGTGTACACTTCTGCCTACCCCTTCGGGGATAAAAGGCGTGATGTTATGTTTTTATGTTATAGACAGTAGAACACGATAATTTATAGGTACTGCATGTGTTAAGTTTATGGTTTGTAAAAGTATTGTTGGATTAATATCACAGGCAACATCGGAGTGTCACAGGGTTCGAACATGGGTCCAACGCTAAAAAATGGTCGCGTCAACCCGCTATGCAATAACAGCTATCGCTTATAATTTACTCCACACTCCACTCATGTGATATAAGCCAGGCATAATTACTAAAACGATGCCATCTCCACACTTATTGTGAGTTTTCTACGGAAATGTAATACAAACGAATATATTTTCAGTAAACCTCATATTTTTATGCTTTTTTTGAAAAAAGTTCAACACTGCGAACTTTTTGTAGTAAATGTAACTATGCTTTTGTTTCAACGTAATTTAATTTAAATATATTCATAGTTATGCAGACTATATGCAGTAGAACTTGCCCGTGTGTCTACTCTCACAAAACACGTACTCATGTGTGTGTATATGTATGTATATGTGAGTGTGAGTGCGTGTGTGTGTGTGTGTGTTATAACCAATTTTTTGATGCACTTTGAATTAATGTTATTACACAATTTTTATTGCTTTAATTTTACATTACAAAAGTAGGTCTACCAAGTTATTTTTATAAAAATCCATAACTATGAAACCTCTACTTGATTCATGAACCCAATACACTTTGTTTAGCAGTTTCACTTCCAACCACATCATCAACAAGACCAACCATAAAGTTTGTCCCTGAAAATCAGGCCACTGAAACTATTGCCGATCAAGTCCGAAAACACTTAGTCGTTAAATTTCAGCCGAAAATTCACTGAAATTAACTGAAACAGTGACTAGTTCCGAAAGTTTTAGAAGTTTCAGCATTACAGTATTGGCATCATGTGTGAATAATTGCCCACTGTGCCTGATTTCTGAGTAGGTATTTCCTGAAGATTGAGTTCAGTGGCATGGTATTAGAGACGTTTGTGTCCAGCTGTGGACAAAAAACAGGCTAATGCAGAAAAAAATTTTACAAAATTAACTAAAAATCGGCGGTTACATACGTACATAGTCTCACGCCTGTTTCTCATGGGGGTACGCAGAGACTATGGACCGCCAATTATTACGATTTCTACATACCTCTTTCGCTTCATCAACAGTCATCAATCTTTTTATACATGCTCGGCGGTTGAGGGTACTTTTAATTTGGCCCTTTTTTCTAATCTGGTCAGTATACGACCGTATAGGGCGCTCTCTACCGACGGTAAAATGTTATTCACGAGAAAATACTGAGAAAAGTTCTACTAGTTTCGGACCACAAAAGGGCTCTTCATCATGAACGGCGTAAGCGCGTTGATGGCGCGCAGCCTACTGGCTAGCGTAGTAGGTAATGGCTAGCGATAATAATTATACATTTGTCACTACCGCTACTTTTCTCGCGTGTGTCTTAAGAGTCGGCTAAGGGATTAAGCATTTGACGAAGATCAGGCAGCAGTGTTTTTTGATAGATAAACCTAAAGCTTTTAAACTGCTATCTCTAGCCCACTTGGCAACTGTAGAGATTTTAGCAAACCTTCTTAAATAGAGGAGCCGTCGCCGATCACATCCCTGACGACACGGCGGTGTTCAGCCTATGAAGGGCACACCGCCCCGTGTGCTCCACCTTGTCCTCATGGCGAGCCTCGCAGTGACGGCACCCGGGCGTTTCCTCCCACCCAAACCGAAAAAGGAACCTACTGAAACTCCCGTGTCTGGTAAGCACCTGGGTCAATTGGCTCCTTAGACGCTATTCGCCTTATTGATGTTGCCAATAATGAAGCACGTCTGTACATTAAGAACCTATTTACTTGAAACTAGAAGACACCCATGTTGTACCCTTCTGGAAACACAGACTCTGGCAAAGCATTTCAATACGATAAAACTATGTATTGCCGACAAACAAAATTTACATAACATAACATCACGCCTTTTATCCCCGAAGGGGTAGGCAGAGGTGCACATTTCGGCTCTTCATGCCACTGTTCAATGTAACACCCACTTTTCACTATTTCATGTTATGAGTCCCATATAATAGGGGGTGAGTCTATTGCCATATTCCGGGTACAATTCTAGATTCCGTGCTGCTCTTGAGAAATTTAAAAAAACCTAGTAATACTTTGTCTTACCCGGGAATCGAACCCAAGACGCCTTGCCCAGCCAACTTGCGAACATTCGGCCAACGAGGCAGTCGGTTATAAATAAAATACGTACTTCAGATTTTAAGACTTTGCACTCAACATTTCAAGTCATTTCAAAGAAATATTTCGAAAGTAAATACTCGTATATTTCCTCTGAAAACCGACGTTCAGTCTCGCCTGTCTCTCAATGTTACACAAATTAACTTGTACCTAATTTAATTACTTTTTAAAGGAAATAAGTCGTGGTTTTGTAGGGAACAATTTGATTTGAAAAAAATTACAAGGATTTTATCTGTCAGATATTTGATGTAGAGAGTTAATTTAGTAAGAAAATTAAATAGTGAATATAACGTACAATAAAATTACGCTATTCTTTATAAGGGTTTTTTTTAAGGGGGGAAAATCATCGAATGACTGCTCCCGCCTGGGTGAGGCGGAAGGGAGTGTCTCTTACTGACTAAAAACCACCCCGTTCCTTCTCCTGCACGTCGAGCCGGAGCCCCGGTTACCCGTTAGGTTCTCCGCGACTCCGAATCGGCAACAGCCCTATTGGGCCCCATCTGTGGTGGTCTGATGGCTCTTTAAGGCGCGCGCGGAACGCGTCGCGCCGTACGCTCGGGTCTGTTTCTGGTCGGACGGGGGGCCACCCATTCTTTATAAGGCTAAGGTTGTACAACAAGATTC